CACTAGGCATACGGCAGCAGGTGTTAGGCCCAGGACAAAGCGACGAAATCCATTGGTGGTACTATACTTCTATGCGCCACGTCTACAGTATACACAAGGGGTTGTTTGTTCAATCGGTTGTTTTTCTTAGCATGAGCGGTAACCGCTTTGGGTAAGAACGGTTACCGGTTTTGCAGCTCGTATGTCCGAAATAAATGTCACATATTGACATTTTTTTTACTGATAAATTATGGCAAATGTACCATGGGGTTATTTTTGCCGCCGTGTCATTTGGGAGTGTGCAAATCGGTGCGTTCGTTACTGACACCGCACTGGAAACAGTCTACTGGATAACAAATAAAATGGTTGCTGGTTTCCCAGTTATCATTTAACGATCCTCATCTACACCCTTCGCCGAAACCAACCGCACGCACCGGCGTGGTGACGTATGGTCAAATAAACTCAGTCCTTGTGAATGTCGTGGGGAGGCCCTCATCCCGTGGTGGGTTGTCAAAGTGGTTTCATGCGACCACGTACTCGTGGTTGCTACTTGAAGTTGATGCTGATGACTTTGAGTGTTATTATGTCCGTGGCACAGCGGGCCGGCGAGATGGGCAAGAACAAGAGTCGGCCGCCTTCACAGAAGCAGAATGGCCTCTTCAAAGTGGCCAATTCAAAGCACCTGAAAGTGAAGAACAAACCCAAAGCCGTGATGACCAACCTGAAAAAGGCAAGCCAGGCATGACATCGATCTGTTGATAACCCCGGAGCAGAGAGTAAACACCACATGTCACCACCTCCACATGTCTTTCATTGTGAACAACACTGATTCGATTTTAATTGTCTACTCGTTTCATGTTAGTCGTAATGATTATGAAGCCACACCTATGATCAAATAATCTGGGACATGACCAGTCTCGTCAGATCTGGGAATCCAAAGCAGGATTTGACCGTCGATAGCGCTTTTAATGGATGACGGCCATGCATAGCAGGTGTCATAGTGGGCTCCGCTACGTGATGGGCAGCAGAGGGCATGGGAGAAAAACCCATATCCCTGTACAGTAAAACCTTGGATTGCGAGCATAATTCGTTCTGGAAACGTGTTTGTAATCCAAAGCACTCGTTTATCAGTTGTGATCACGTGATGCTTGGCAGACAAAGCGTATACACGTACTGCTCGTATTGCAAGACCTCGCTCGTTTATCAAATTAATATTTATTTTAAAAATTTGCTCGTCTTGCAAAACACTCGCAGACCAAGTTACTCACAATCCAAGGTTTTACTGTACTTTTTTTATGCTACCACATCTCTGCTCCCTGCCTTCAACCCACGATCACTAGCCTGGTGAAGTAAGGTCAGATAACACCTGCAGGACCCGCACAGCTTAAGGGATTGACAGAAGAGAGAGCTGTCCGTACGCACGTGCACACACATGGCGTTAGGTTTACATGCACACCGGTGCGGCGCCTGGTTTAGCGTTCGCTTGGGTTGTACTTGAACACCGTTCTTACTGTGCCGCGCCGCAGATCAACATCAAGAACAAGGAGAGGGTGAGCGACAGCGACAAGAACTTCAGCGAGGTGCACGCACAGGTGGCCAACCCCGCCGAAAGCAGCACAAAGGTGGCCGAGCCGACAAAGGTAACGCCCCACAAACGCTTGCGTGCCGTGAAGACTGGGGGGGGGACATTGTCCAAAACGTCACCTATTGTATACATTTTCCTTTTATGAGGGCAGTGTTAGTGATGGACGTGTTGAGTTTTTTTCGTGTTATTTTTATTTGTCGTGAAAAATGTTTCATTTTGAAAAACGCTTTGCATCAGATAACTTTTTTCAACAAGGGATGTGGGGAGGAAGCCACTGTGGTTCAGACAGGTCCACACCCAAGCGTGTCAATCAGTAGGGGTCAACTAAAATCGCTATTGAAATCGCGTTGCCTGCGACTGCTTTGTCCACATGTGATCCCGGGTAGTTGTACAGCAAGGAAATCAAATGGCATATATCGAGTTAAAATCTTGAATTGGTCGTTACTGTGAGGCCAAGACACCTCCAGTTGATCATCATTATCCGGATTCCAACATGTGGCGGTCCCGGGCTGATCCGGCGAAACCGGCGAAACAGCTGCCAAAGTCTGTACCATTCGTACGATCAGCACCATGTGCATGACAAAAACAGTCGCCATGCCTGATTTCAGTGTTAAATAATATATACGGTAGATTGTACACTACATACGTAATGAAAATACTGACGTAGATACATCACCCCATGCAGAGTATTTTTAAAGTAGGATATTTGTTTGTCTGTACGTTTATTCCATTTTCAAAGAGGCAACATTTAAAACAGCAAAAATATGTAATACCTAAAAACGTCATACAAGAATGTGCAAAAATAAGCTATTTTAAATTATGAAATTATCCGGCGTTTTCGAAAATCTGCATAATTGATTATCTACTGTATTTAAGAATATGGCTCAGCTGACACCGTGATTCTGATTTTCCGGATTGTTATTCTTCCCGATGAGGTTTGATGTAGTTTTGAACGAAAAGTCTCCTAATTGCTGATTTTATTCGTGAGAATTTGTCAACCTTCCAGTGAGCCGAAAAACGTTTAACGGGCGATTCATTTATTTGCCCGAGTTAGGTGGTGGATGGTTTATGTAACCTTGGCCACATTACGTGACCGAACACACAAAAAAGTCTATTATGAATCAATATTCGCTGCAAAAACCTACGAGGTGAGTTAAACGGCGTGTTCAGGATTTTAGTAGCGAGTCATAGATTTCAAAGGTGCATGAAATAAAAATGCATCGCTGTCAGTCTCCTCTGTAAGCGAACCAGTTATGCAACTGATTGTATAGACGTCCACGTGAAAGCCATTCAATTGCATGTGAATACGTTGCGCAACCGATTGTTCAGTTGTGGACCCGATTTCAGAAGTCCATTCGAGTTTGCTGTTAAAACAGCTTGAGTAGGAAGTGCCAAATGCAACAACTGTCAGAGTTTTAACAGATTTTAAAACAAATACTTGTTCCACTGCTGTGTAGGATGGTGTTGGGCCCTTAAAAAATTATTATTTAATTGAGTGACCAGCAGACGGCCCATCTGTGAGGCCTGTTATCACTTTTAAATGTAATGAGACTGGCTGCAGGGAGGAGCTTGTGGGTTTTTTACAGCAAATTTGATCAAAGTGGCCCAATACAGATTGGCTTGGAGTTGTGCCAGCAGTACTGATCATAACCATGTAACTAACGAGGTGGCTAGGAGATGTTAACTACCACGCCTGGCATACAGGAGGTCGTGGGTTCGATCCCGACCCTGACGCCTGTACATTTGGAGTTTGCATGTTCTCCCGTGGTCTCTTGGATTTTTCTCTGGGTCCTTCGGTTTTTCCTTCCACATTCAGAAACATGTATTTACAGTATTTAGCTGTTATACATTTCTGCGTGATAAGCTACTTCTTTCAGCTATAATTTGTGGTCAGGTCGCTTTGGTGAAAGAGCTATATAGCTCAGTGGGCCTTGCCTGGTAACAAAAACAAGTTGTAGTTCATAGTTTTGAAAATAGACGAATAAACTAATTGTACACTTAAAACCTAACCCCAAATTATTGCAATTGAATAGTTGTTGATAGGATATGAATTTACACTGAGACCTCCTTTACCAGTGGCAAAATATAGTGATAGGTTTTTACCCTTTAAACTGGTACAAAAACTGACACCTTTATACAAGGCATCATGTGTAAATGCTTATCCCGAGCTCTCAATACTCTGATAGTGCGCTGTTTTTGAGTTGTATGCCTTTTGGCGTAATCTGGTCCAACACAAATGGAGACTAGGCTCTAAGAAAAGCTGTCTCGGGTGTGGACCAATCAACTTCAAGGACAGTGCATATCATTATCAGAGTTGTTTATTTTTGTTTGCAATTTGACTGCTTGAGTTGTGGTTATTGCAAACATGATGCCTTGTATAAAGGTGTCAGTTTTTGTACCAGGTGAAAAGGTAAAAACCTATCACTAGGATATGAATTGTGTGCACGCTCAGCTAACAGCCTCAAGCAGGGACAGGTGTCACCCAGCACCTTCATGAACAGTGTGCACGTGGTTGTGGTTGTTGTAGATCACGCGGCAGAGGGCGGCTCCTGTGCAGGCACCCAATGTGGAGGACGCTGCACAGCTCTTCTCGCAGCTGTGAAGAGGTGGATGTGTGGCCGCGACGACGATGGGACCGCAGCCCCAATAAGGTTCGTTTTTGACACACGTGGGAAATAACCCCCACGATTTGATTCGATGGCCCTGAAATTCACTCTTAATTTCGAGCAGTTATATCGGTGCAAATATATGAATGTAGTTTGTGGATGTGGCATATTTGCTAAAAAAACATACAAAAGTTTCATTTTATACAAGTAGGTGCCCAAGCAGTCTAGTTTATTTTGTTTAACTTGGAGAGAATTCAAGAGGCCAGGATAGTCTCATTTGCAAGTAACCTGGAGCGTTTATCTCCCATTCAGGGAAAATGATTGATGTGTAGTCACAATTTAGTAACTGGCAGTTAAATTGCGAATTTTGAAAATCTGGACCCTAACGACAACACACGACTCATGCGAACGACGTCACGGGATATGTAACGTCCATTGTGGACGTGGAGTAGACGATGAACGTGCTACTGCTAGGCCATGTTTAGAATGTAAAGGTTTTTGTTTAAAAGGTATTAGACTAAAGTGGTTTATCAGTCTTTTAGATTACATATATATATAACTTTTAGGTATGAAATCTATAAAAATGTTTCTACTTAAAGTGAAACCTTGTTACATGGTAACAATGGTGCTTATAAAATAAGGATATGTGAAATGTAACCATTACAAGTAAAAAGGTACAGGGAACGTCAATTAAATTAATCGCACCATCTGCGTTACATTCGAAGTTAAAAGCGGGTTTAATTTTACAATTCCTTCAGCAAAATAAGAACCAAAATGAATGTGAAGCCACCAAGGTAGTGAAACGAACCATCATCAGAGCCACACACAAGTGAGTAACTTAACGCTTTAATACTTGTTGACAAAAAGGCAAACAAGAAACACACGAGTCAACAAATATACCTTCACGTAAACAAAAACAACCGTTATCAGCTGCAGGGAGGGGGGGGGGGGGCATTGCCTGCGTGCTGGCGAGCGCTGGGCTCGCTATGAGACCGTGTCCAACCGCCCTCCACGCCTAACCTCAAGGAGTGAGCTGCTGAGATGTTATTAATAAAAGGTACATCAGTGCATCATTAAAAAAACCCACTCGTACAATTAAAATTATATTCCAAGTAAAATATACATCGAGATGTAGTGGCCACGTGGGTGGTGGGTTCTGTGCTCTCCATTGCCTACAGTGGGGGTGTCAGGGGGTCCCCTTCCTGCTTAGGATTTCCATTGAAGGTAATTAATTCTCCCAATTTGTTTTCGGGTTGTACCTCATGTTGTTTACCCTCGTGCACGAAACGGTTAACTTTCTCTGGGTAACTGGGTTTCCTCCCAGACGTAGCAAAGGCAACATCAGCTGGCCTATGTCAGAGAGTTGAGCCAAACGGCGTCAATCTGCTACACCACCAGCAGCCGCCGGCAATGCTGTATCATGGTACGAAAGCGAGCTGCTTATGTTCCTGAAGCTCCCAGCATGTGGAACAGAATGTCATACAATGCCGACCAACACTCGGTACAATCTGAAAACGTTGGAAAGTTATACAGCATGGCCGTGAAAACCTACAGTGGTATTTGAGAGATTTAAGTTTAGTTGTGAACAGGCACAGAAGTAATTGTGACAGGCAATTGAGTTCCAGTAGCAGGATACAAACACTGGCTTTTTCTTTTACACAACAGGCAAAGTTGTAGGCCAGCAAAAGTCCACGGAATGATTTAAGGTTTAAGTTCAAGGAAAATGTGTGTTAATTCCTTGCCTGGATCACAACAGAATGTGTGTTCAGGGGTAACTAATACAGCACCGGGTGTGACAAGTCAGATTTACACTTGCGCAGGTATGTGTAGTGGCGGATGGTTTGGAAGTGGTTGCAGTGTTTAGCACACTGGTGCTACGAACCCGGCCACCCCCGTTTGATTCCCGCTCACCAGTATCATCAGTGGCAAATATCTAAACTCATCTTGGTCCCTTCATCACTGCAACATGCCCTGAGTAATGGGGTGGTTGTTTTCGCAAGGAGAGGATTTCCCTTACCTCATGTGACCAGCTGTGGCTTTGGCAGTAGACATTTCACTACAAACCAGTTGAGCTGGTCCTGGACCTCCCCTAGGTTGACTCGGCCTCAAGTGAATACCTGGTATGTTGTGTAAACAATGGCATTGGGGAGACAAAGGTGGCTAGGGTGTGGTGCGTGCTAAATCACCCCTTCAATGTCAGCCTTCATAGTAGCTCGCTAGCAGCGCACGCCCTAAAAGTTTTGTGCAGGCTTTCAGGTGTAGTGTGGCAGTGTGTGGTAGTGTAAATTGGCAGTGTTGTCCATGAGGTCCAATGTGTGTGTGTGTGTTTGTTTCAGGCAGTCAGCAGCACCCATCACTGCCACCCGTCGACCCAGCTGGCCGACCCTGCCCGCCGCTGGGTGTAGCTCCAAGCTGCTGTGGCCCAATCTTTATCCCGTTTGCCTGAAGCATAGCCAGGTGCAACGCGCACACACACACAGGCAAGAAGCATATACACACTCTCAAGATGAGGTGCATACACTGCACAAGATGTGGCAGTGCTAGGGATGTAATGATAATACGAATTTCAGCTTAAATGGGATCCAAATACCATCACATGTCTAGACATATTAAACAAATGGAAGGAATACTACAGAGTAGGATGTGGGGAGCATGGACATCCGTTCAGCCTGTGGCTGTATTGATATGTGCAATAGATATGGTTGTGTGACGGACTTGTATCTCGGGCAGTGCCTCTACCTCCATAGACATCAATGTTGCTGCTCACAGCTAGCCGTTACTGTACTTTCCAGATTATAAGACACGTTCTTGTAACACAGCCAACCGTGCCAATTGCAGGTGCTGGGGTAAGGAGTAACACCCACATCAAATCTTTGATGTACTTTTATCCTTGAAAAAACATTACTGAGTCCTCTACGTTTGACTATACCAGCGCCAACGAATTCGGGGGAAATGGATGAATTCACTCCCAAGGTTGTTTGAGAAATATTTTACGAAAATAACGCAAGAATCTGAGCAGGGTAAGTGACGATGCGGGACACCACGGTGTCTACAGCATTACCACCCCACAAGCAGGCCTCCAAATATCATCTCTGCTATAATTTCTAGTGAGTACTGTGTTAACTAATGTAACTTGTTATGCACCACCTTTTAGGGTATCTTGTCATCGATTTTGTTACTTTTTATTTTATTTACCAAGAAATATTATCCCCAGGAACGTATCCTAACTTTATATCGTCAAGTCAATTGTAAAATAGGCTTCGATTTACATTGTTTTGCCTAACAATGCATTTTCCAGGGATGTATCCCAAACGTAAATAAGAGGACTTGCCCTATATACATTCTAGAACAAAAGCAAGTAAAGTGTTTCAATTATAAATTTACACCAGTGGATTCTGGGATACAAACGCTGGTCTTATAATCTGGAGGATATAACAGTGGAATTAAAGTTGTTGAATATACCCGATGCCAATTAGGTTATTCAAATCTGGCTTTAAATGTGGAGGCAATAGAATAGAGGATCCGATACGTGATTATTTTTCTCACAGGAATCGTTCCAATGATGATTACAGGCATGCAACTTGCTAGATATCAGTGGTGTATCCTTTTCTCTAAACACGTTCGCTACATGAAAATCAAAGTTGGTGGCCAAACTTCAGAATCCAGCCTCGCATGGGGTGATATATAGTAACTGGTGCGTGGTTTAAATCTTCCGGCTGTGAGAAGTCACAAATGCATATGACGGGTAACTAAAAAAAAAGCACAGCAATTCTGATCTCAAAAAGTCAGAATGCTTGAGAGGTTACCTCATTGTTGACGTCAAACACGCCTTCCTGGATCTTCTCGTAGATTTCCCGCGCCGTGTTGATGAAGGCCTGCAGTAACAGGAACACAGGTGCATAAGATTAACTTTGTATTATACTACGCGTGTTAAAAAGATTGTACGTAATCATTGTTGTTTCCCTTTATGCCGTCAATGATGCTTTACGTCAGGGGTGGGGAAACCTTGTCTATACTGAGGGCTGAATACGACTTTCAGAGACACCACACACCTCTACTGGTATCCCTACTGATGAGGCAAAAAATAATGCAATCAGTAGGCCCTTTGCGGTGAAGGAAACGACCACATTAAAATAAGAAACTTGCCAGGTTAGAAATATTTCCCTCCACTGCTACCTATTGGTGCCGATAAGATGTTTGCTAAATTTAACATGGTTTTCCTAAGCAATATCATTTTTAAGGTATTATTGTTGGCGCACGTTGATGACATCACACCGCCGCCCGTCTTAAGTCCCAAGACAGGACATTTTCACAATTCTGGTTGTAACTAGCAGCGAAACGTCATACCCAGTTGTGAAATGTTATGTATTGCTTTCCAACATAAGTGTGCTGAAGCAGAAATAATTTGGCATGTCTGGTCAAGTGACAACCTTAATGTGCTGTGCCAGATGGAGGAAGGTTAACGCCACACATTTTACTGGCGCAATGTAATGACGACTAAATATCATTTGTGAGCGGTAGGTTCCCCACCCCCGTTTTACTTTTCCGTTTGGAGATTTGTTCAAATAAACGCAAATTAAAGCATTTATACACGAGTCAACTGGCATGTGAACCTATGTGCCTGGCTTGCATGGAAGGAGAGCCTGTGTGTGCACGTGGGTCCTTCGGTCGACTCGGCCTCATGAGTACCTGGGGTGCAGTGTGTAAACATTGCAGCTGCTAGGGAGACAGGCTGCCACAGTGCACGGCCTTCATTGGTGCTACTCGCTAACAGCACTTGCCCCCACAGTCTGTTAAGGCTATACAGAGGGGGGGGATCTTTGTCATTGTGGGTCCTTACCTCCTCAACGTTCGTCGCCGTCTTGGCCGATGTCTCCATGAAGACGAGGCCGTGCTCGCGCGCAAACGCCTCCCCTTCCTCGCGCTTCACCTCGCGGCGCGACTCCAGGTCACTGGGCACGCAAGGGCGGTGGCGCCGTTAAATGCAGCTCTCAATCAATGCACATTCATGTAAATTGTTGTCGCTAATGCAAGTTTTTTTTGTTCTAGCTAAGGGAAGGAACAGCCCCTGCAATTACAAGTTCATGCACTGCTGGTTCAAAGGCTGCTATAACCAGAAGCTCAAGAGATGGTATTTGGCCTACTCTTCCTAGTTGGATAGTTTATTTTTAAAGTACTTAATTACTGAATAGGATCACATTTTAGCCATGATCAATGCAATGTCTGCTTTATCCAGGCCACAACTTGCTGCCATCACCCCCAAATAATTGAGTCGAGTAATATAATTGTGGTAATCAGCTTTCACATGCTAGAGAGTGCAGGTCAACCATGCGGCCCCCTCCCCCCCACATGTCCTGCCCACGTGCCCCATTCTGCAGTCACCTCTTGTTGCCGATGAGCATGATGACCATGTTGGAGTTGGAGTGCTGCCGGGCGTCCTCCAGCCACGCTGTCAGGTGGTTGAACGTGTCTCTCCTGCACCCCAAAGTAACAGCCGTGGCAAAATAGATTCATAAAAAACTGTTCGGGGAAAAATGCATAAGCATGGATTGTGTGATACAGCAATCGTGCTGTGACGGTTCCACCTGAAGATGGAAGCTTGTGTTGCCTCCGAAACGTCGTAATTTGTAAAAAAAAAAAAATATTTTATTAATTTAATTTTTTTACCTACGTGACTTTGCCAAAAAAACCTAAGAACATGGATTGTGTGTTCCGCTGTCCAACATGCTTTTGTCCGAAGTGGTATTTAATTACCATTAGGGAGGCCAATGGGTAGCTGTCGAGGGAAAATACCTTAGTACATTTCCTTTCTGCTCTGGTTTTGGTGTCAAAACGCTTTAAGAAACCCTGTAATCTATTTGACCAGTTTTCAATTGGACAAGTTGCAAAAATACTTTATGCTACCGTTCGACATTGGATCATATTTTGAGAGTTCTTGTGCCTCCCCCGTTTCAAGTGAATGCACATAGCCAATGCATCAACGCTTTCTACCGTAGTTGGAAAGCCTCAAAAGGATCAACAGATAAGCAGTTAGCTCTCACGCGGTCATGAGTGGAGGTTACCCTCATGCCTAGAAATGGAAATTTTTCTGAGAAAAAAAGTTAGGCCCTTTCTGGCAGGCCAAGCTGTGGAGGAGTGTCACACCTGGTGATGTCATAGACGAGCAGGGCCCCGGCTGCTCCGCGGTAGTACGAGCGCGTGATGGAGCGGAATGACTCCTGCCCGGCCTACACACCACGACGTGCGCGTCACACAAACAGCTTCATGATTTAAACAGCTTCACGATTCAAGCAGCTGCACGTTACAGCACAATCGGCAGCTCCTGACTGCCCGCTGCTGCCCATGACAAGAAATGTCTTCTATGGTGTGTGATTGCGTTCAAGTGGACCCCTCGCCATAACCAGGGGTTAATTTTAACAGTATCTTTAGGAGCTGGGCATACCATACGCTAGTATGCCTCTCGCTATGGCTTCTAGTTTCATACCTACGTGCCTACTTTGGTAATCCAGGAAAATATTTCCTGGAAAAATGAAGCTGCCCTTAACCATTGAGAATTCCTCTCATGTGTATGTCGCTACCTTTAAAGTGGTAGATTGCCACGACCGCTGTCGTAATGGCCATAAATGATTTAAGTAGCACCTCTATAGCCGACTTAATGTTGAGCGCCACAGTGGAGGCCGCAGAGAGCACTCTATTCATTAGGCGAACAGAATCGAGAAACATACCGTGTCCCAGATCTGCAGCTTGACTTGCTTGCCGCCAATGGCGATCATGCGGGCCCCAAACTCGACGCCTGCCAGGCACATCAACGCACATCAACGCACATCAACGCACATCAACGCACATCAACGCACATCAACGCACATCAACGCACATCAACGCACATCAACGCACATCAACGCACATCAACGCACATCAACACCACACGCTGAGAAAAATAGCCACGCCGGTCTTCCGGTGGGACGTTATAAGCCCAGCTTTCAATGTTTACAAACTCCTGACAAAAAGCATGCAGGGGTGTGTGTTTGCCTTCTTGTCAAAGATAAAGTGCTTGGCACTTAAAATGAGCGAGGCTTTTTATTTATTCATATTGGCTGTGTAATGAAAGCATCTGTAAATGAAATCAACCCTACAGTTGCTGCAATGTTGACAGAATTGTTAATTATAATGTAGATATGGTAGTCTATATCACTCACCAACATTTACAGCAGAGGCTTTATTTCCCAAAATGTTAACTTTGTCCGTTTGTTTTGTGCAAGGTGAATTTAAAGGTAAATGGTCAACGTGTTCTGACCAGCGTGGTGAAGTTTGGTCAAACAACCCCCATGATTGGCAAGGCACGGAGGCCCTAATCCAGAAATCGATTGACAGGAGATTTTTACGTTTTCATGTTCATGAGGATGGTGTTAAGTATTATGTGCTGCTGTTGCCCTGCGTGAGGAAATAAGAATTTAATAATTGCATTCAAATTGAGTTTAAAGCTTGCATTAATTTGTGCTTTATTTATTTTTCATGCATATTGCATGCTGCATATTGCATGAAACGTTACCTTTAAGTTAATTGGAATGAGAGGGAACAGAAACTAACATGAGAATAGAAACTAGACAAAACAAGATTCTTAAATCAATAGTGACCTGTATTGTGCAAATGAATAGTTAAATGCCTATTGTGAACTTTTGACACATTGCATGTTAACAGGCTTGCAACCGCACTAAGTTCTAGCGTGATTGTGCAATCCCATCCTGGGCTTACCGATGGTGAGGTCATGGACTGGCTGAAATCTTTTGTCTGTGAATTGAAGCAACAGGCACGACTTTCCCACCCCTGAAACGAACACACGCATGCACAATCCAGAAACACGCGTGCGCAGATTGGATTTAAAACACACAAAACGGTGCAGCCTTTCAGTTTCTAACACATGGGACCTCCATTGGAGGGTGCTCAAGCCAGCCCCTTGTCATGCAGTGTTCTTCACTCATTTTCAGAGGGGGGGGGGGGGGGGTGTTTTCACATTTGTGTATTGTCAGGGGGCGCACTAAAGGCCACCAGGGGCCGCTAGTGGCCCGCGGGCTTTGCAATGAAGAACACTGCCGTAGAAGGTGTCTTATCTACTCTACCATGCTGGTAAGACATCTTTGAAAAACGAGGATTATCTATACTTACCCCACCCTATGTGACCTGCTGATCATCGACTGTTATGTCTCCATTTATATATACTCCTGATGATGATTGCTTGTGTTGCAGTCGAAACGTCGTGAGAATTTTTATTGTTTTATATGTGTATTATTTTATTATTTCCCTTCTACGTGACTTTACCGAAAGAACCAAGAATATGAATCCCTGCAGTCACGAAAGCTTTAGATCAAAACTTTTAAACCTTGTCCATGAAAGCAAATTAAAGCAAAGCCTCAGTGCGATTGTGATCACTCTTTCAACGCAGGAATAGCAAAACTACAGGAACTCTCTCCTGAAAGCCCTCTCGTGGCAGACTTTGATATTGGCATTAGCTTCAACATATTGTCATACGCAAAAAATGAAAAAATATCGTGTATTCAAACCAGCCTTTCAACCGAATACATGTGGCTATTTTTGGATGCATTTTCAATGAGTACATACCACGCGTTTATTGACTTAGCCCTCTCCCAACTCGAAAAGATAATTATGTCCACAATGGCCAACATATTTTTGGTGCAAGTGACAGAGAAAAACACGGTAAAATTAGCTTGCAGGTCAACAACGTCAAGCTCAATCGACCAACACCTGCTGTTGCTTGCCAATCCACACAGCTTCTCGCAGTGGGTAATTTCACTTGTTATGTAACGCTCCGTTCAATGGAGAGCGGTGGCAAATATGGACCGCAATAGGTGGTTGTAACTACAGACGTTTTACGAGCCAACGTCACAGATGTTAACTCAGTGGGGGTTACCAATAGGCTTAATTGACTTGTACACTGCAAGACCTTTCATCAAACCACTACACCTACGGTTGGCTACGTACGGTGCGAAAGAAGTTCAACATTCATAGATGAACGTATGTGACATTCATAGCATCGGCTCCCCCCCCCCACTCAAAGACACGAACTGGATTTACAATTCTAAGCACGGTACATTACTCAAGAACATTGTCGCCCTCATTGACTACTCTATGCACAGTGTCGAATTGCGTGTATTGAACATAAAAGGACGGGAGTGTACATTCCATGGCCTTGGTTAAGATGTGATGATACGGTATTTTGAAAGGAATATTTAAATGTGTGCAATCCATTTTTCCCAAACGCCCTTATTCTCTTAAGTAAACACAACAGGTCGGTCAGTGACACTGCCTTCACGACGCCAGATGATGATGTGCAATTAAGGGAAATTGCCCCAAAAACGTAACATCTTAAGATGTATTTTAAAGCAATGCCATTGACAAATGTGTTGAGATTTTGTGTTGTCAACCGCGCAGCACCGACTCATTAACAGTACAGTAACAACAACAACAGCAGCAATCAATCACCACGAAGTGGCGGTGGACGTCACCACGACGCCCGTGCCAGGCTAGGTGCACTCTTGAAGCCACGTGAAGCGTTGTCGAAGGCTCGCTGGCAGGAGGTCACAGGTCAGACCCAGGTGCCGTGCCCCCCCTCCCCCCCTCAAATCTAATCGGCGACGTTTCGGGTAATGCCCCTTTTTCAGCGGCCACGTGTGGAATTGTTCACTGCAGACGAACAAAGCCCCCCGTCCGTTCAATTGCGTGCCACTCAAAATTCCCACCTCGCATCGACATCGCCATCGCTTATCCGCGCTACGGAATCTGAGGCTTTGTTCATAACAGACGTGGGTTTCATGTGGGGATGGGTGAGATCGCGTAAATGTAAACTCGTCGTTAAACCCGCCAGCAACGTTTAGTAAGGTTTGTTAAGTAAAGTAAGTAAAAAAGCGTGCTGACGAGGGGCTAATTTAGCACACCTGGCGCATTGGAGAGTAAAACCACACAACATTTACAATTCAGAGTACAACGTAATCGAGTGGTGGCGGGTTAGACGACACAATTATGACATCTGACCCCCTCAAATAAAATAAAACATTTATTACGAACAACATTGGTGGCGAAAATCCGCCTCCGCGTGTTAAACACGGGCATTGTTATCGAGGCCGGCACGGGAGCCGCCGTGCCCGCTACGAGGAGAGTGGCTGGCTGGCTCGCTCTTGCTCTCACTCACCCGTGTCCCCGATGATGATGTACTTGAAGAGGTAGGCGTACGACATGACGACGAACGACGACGGGGGAAGAGAAAACGACGACGCCGATGCCGCAACGCGAGACACCGACCACCACGCGGGCAGCACGATCGGCTTCAACCACTTCGCACGATTCCTGCACTGCGCATGCGCAGACTTCTGGGTGGGAGGGGTTGTTGGGGGGGGGGGTGAGTCACGTGATCACGCAACTTCCCCGCCAACTCCTCCCACCCTCCACCCGGAACCACGTGGCAAGTCGTAAAGTAAACGCATGTTTTTTTAATGCTGTCCAGTATTCTTTTTGTTATTTTTATTTTGTTTCCCGTCTACGTGACTTTACCGAAAGAACCAAGAATATGAATAAATGCAGTAACGAAAGATTGAAATAATTTTTTTTTAATTTTCTTGCTGTGGTTTTCACACCTGATGATGATTGCTTGTGTTGCAATCGAAACGTCGCGAGAATTGTATTGTTTAATTTTGATTATTTTATTAATTCCCTTCTACGTGACTTTACCGAAAGAACCAAGAATAAAAAAGAATGTTTTTAAAATTATTTTTTATTCACTTTATTTTATTGTTATTATTTTTTTATATCTACGTGACTTTACCGAAATAACCATAGAATATTAATTCCTGCAGTCACGGAAGTTGTCACATTTTATAAAGATTCTTATTGGGCTGAGGTGGAGCCGATGGACGAGTGCCTACGTCACGCCAGTTTGGGATGATGTCACGACACGTGGATGTAGAGGGGAGGATGACGTCACGAGACCTCGTCGGTTAGATGGGTGATGACGTCACGTGATGTGGAGCGGATGGTTACGTCACGAAAGATTGAGGGTCGATGACGTCAATAGAAGTAGGTTTGAGGGGTTTGTCAACGCGACTGGCGAATTGGGTCAGACGGGCGATGACGTCACGCGAGACTGCGGTAATTGGGGTGACGTCACCAGGCACGGGGGAGGGGCGGCTATGACGTCACGCGACACGGGTGAGATGGAGGAGAGGGAAAGATGACGTGTATTCGTCGTACTCGAATTGTAAATGTGGGTTGTTTATTCTCCAACACACCGGGTGTTACTGTACTCGTAACGAATTGGCACGTTCTGTTTACGTGACAACCCTTACTAATTGGCTGTGTCGGGTGGTGGCGGATTTAACGATACACATTTACGCTCACCCGAAAACCTCAGATGGATCATCCTGGTCGCGACTGCCTACCACGTGCTAAACTGACGTCGAAAAACGCAGGCGTGGTGAGGAAAGAGGCGGGGCAGAGGGGGGGGGGTATTGTGACGTCACGTGACATTGCCCGCAGTGGCACCGAAATGCGATCGGAATGCAAACGACGTGGACAGGAATCGCCATGCGAGAGAGCAGAAACATGCGGAGTTCAATTCGTTATTAATTAGTGTGGACGAGAAAGTGTGGAAACCCTGGAGGAATGTTCACTTAATACTCCACCAAATCGACGCACCCACCGCCGGCCCCCACCCCCCAACACAATGCAACTTGGTGAAAACTTTTCAACGCTCAACATTTCCTGCAAATTACACACGTAACAACTTTTAAAAAAGGGTTTAAAAAAACCACAGCATCGAATAATACAAATTGATTCAAAACCCAAACGCAATTGAGCACATCATTGCGTCGACTTTATTGAGCACGCCAATCCAGTGCAAACAAATATATAATGTATATCTGACATCTTTATCCAAACGTGGGGGGGGGGGGGGAGAACCAAAACGCAAGGGTCACTTACTGTCATACAGGATCCTGGACATACAGTATATATATGGAAACACGGCCTTTTGACGCTTTTCCTATATTTTAAACGAAACGTGGAAATTAAACTACACAAAACCTGCACGCGCTGAGATGACTTACAAGTATAACCCAAGGAAAATAATGTAAGACAGAAACAATGAAAGTAAAAAAAGAAAGGTTAAATAAAGGTTAGCTAGCATCTCGGAAAGTATCCATAAGCATTGGTCACAAGAATGTATATTCGCTGGAGTGGGAGAATGGTCCAGGGAACTGTTAAGACTGATAAGACATGACAACATCTGGTGTCTGGGGACATGCACTGCACTTTAGGCAAGTGCAAACCACACAAACTCGAAAGTAACCGTACATTCAAGTTAGCCACGTGGGCAAAACTGCGCCTGCAAAGTGATCAAGAGTCTACGAAGCCAAATGGACAGGTTGTCGGTGGGCATGAGGGATCAGGGTAGATTAGCTCACAACGACCGCCGGTCACCTCAAAGCAGCGGTGGACGTCACCACGGCGCATGTGCCATGCTAGGTAGGTGCACTTTGAGGTCACGTGAAGTGTCCAAGGCCCGCTGGCGGGAGGTCACGGAATAGACCCAGGTGCCATGGGTTGACTGACCGAGATGCATGCATGTTGAACTTCTTCCGTACTCTACGCAGTCAACCGTGATCATAAGATGCACCAACTGTGCTCACCCATTGTGCCAACTTCTTAGCTGCCCGGCGCTCTGCTCGTTGTGAGCGTCGCTCCTCTGCCCTCCGTTGTTGCTGGAGGGTGACTGACAGACGGAGGCACGTGTGTCCGCACACACACAAGCACACGTGCATGCGTAGGTGCTGCAGCATCCATTCTCCTACTTGGGGGGGGGGGGGGGGCATGCGACCATGAGGTGGCTTGTTGTACGGTATGAGTGGGTTGCTATGGCGGAGTGTCACCTCTACTTCTGCTCCTGAGCATAAAGGGTCAAACCCAGACAGCTGCCAACCCGTAGGTAAAGCCATGAGTAAAGCCCCTTTAGAAAGAAACAGTCCAAGAAATTGGCATCTGTGTTTGGGTGGCAGGCATTGATTTGTATCGAGAATTTGGTTGTATTGTGACGTATACTGCAGTTTTGATAGACCTAGGGTGACTGATAAATGTCGGGGGTTTGCGCCAGCTTTACTACCCCAACGCTTTCAAAAGAGAATTCAGCAGCACTCCGAGCAACATTCTTGCCCCCCCCCCCCCCGCCTTAGCCAGGATAAAATGTAACAAACAGTCCGATAACATTTAAAGAGGTGGTTGAAATGATAAGGAATCCATTAATAGTTGGAAGGTAACAGTGCATCAATAATTAGTATCACCAGTGTCCCTGTGTGAAAACGATCATTAATTTAGCTTAGTTTAAACAACTATCGCAAAACGAGAATACAGTTTTTTGCTAAGCAAAGTTAGTGCTTCTGTGAATTCTTGTTTGAGCCTGCTCATAAATAACGCTGGAGGGTTGAGATGAATCACAATAATGCGCCCAAAAGACTGATCTCGGAGGCACATTATTTTGACAATGGCCAGCGCAATAATAAGGGCCATATCTCTCAGCTTGCGACTTCAAAAGAGAAAAACAAAGCCGGTGGTGTGAATGTAACAAACTAAACCAATATCATGGAAACTTAAAAAGTGGCCTCGTTGCATGACCCTCTTCACGGGAGTATTCATGCAAGAGACTAACTGGTGGACCACAGATGTCGCCCCCCCACCCCCCCCCTGGTGCCTCTACGTACACGCACGATGATACGGTGCTGCCGGTACTCGAACCAACGTCACGCCATCGGCGCTACGTGGTCACTGGTCCCAGCGTTAATGCCCCTCTCAAGCGGTCTCGCCCCAGGCACGGCTGTGAGACCGGGTCACGGTGGACACCTCGCGCACCGTCGCCATCGCCCGAGACGGAACGCGAAGCCGTGTAGGTCAAGTTTAAAGCGCGCAATCTCGGCGAGGGTTTGTGGAATTGCGACCCGCCACGGAGCCATCGTGACAATACCACACCGCGTGTCTGGGGCTTTAATCCGCCGACGTGATCCCGTAACAGACGCGACAGCTGCTGGGTGTGTGGACGGTGCGAAACTATTTTCTCCGAGCCTCACGGTTGATCAGACAACGGAGTGCATTTGTCTCGTGCATGACAAAGCGATGTGGGGCGAGTGCATCACCCGAGGTGGTGGTCAGGGCAGGGTAGAGTGTGCGGGTGCTAGGGCCTGTGTGCTGAAGTGTTGTGCTTCATCAACAGTGCCCTCTCCCGTCTGCACTCGCCCATTCCCTGCTCCCCAGCACCGACAGCAGCGGTGGACCCGCTTTTGGACAGAATCACATTCTTGAACTCCGCGCTCTTATTCCAAACATTCGTTCCGCGTGCTGCGTGCGTGGATAGGAGGCGCAGCTGGCTCCTCGCTGTGAGCTACGTCATCGGTCACGACGCGTACGCCAAAGCCAATCTCACCCACCCAGATGGATGACACCGAGGTTCTCCGTTTCCACCAGCCACGCCAAAGTCACAGTCCTTTAAAGACGCGCGATGGGAGCGCGGAGGAAAATTCAATGGCAGCCGCCAATCACTTCCACCTCGCCCACCTCTGCTCGCGCTCCCTGCCGCTGCTTGTGCTCGGGGGGCTATATCCCGACTTCCTGGAAGAGCGAGGTGTAGAACTCGGGCTCGATGAGCCGGCTGCGGTACTTGGCGACGAGCTCGGCGATCTTGAGCTTGCGCCGCACGTGCGGGTGGCTGTACGCGTCGCTCTCCAGGCGCTTGCGGCGGCACGCATTCACGGCCGTCTGCCGCACCAACGAGCCTGCCCCGGCGAAGAACATGGCGAGAGAATGCAAAGACGGATTATTACGTAAGCGAGTGCATGTATATTCTTGGTGCTTTCGGTAAAGTCACGTAAAAGGGAAATAATAAAACAATCAAAATGTAAAACAATACAATTCTCACGACGTTTCGACTGCAACACAAGCAATCATCATCAGGTGTGAAATCCACAGCAAGAAAAGTTGAACTTCTTTTGCACCGTACGTAGCCAACCGTGCTAATTGACAAATGCCGTGTCCCACAAACACAAGCTGTGCACATAAAGACCCAAGACTTTCCTTCTCCGCTGTGGCTATGATTTACTGCCTCTTTTTTTTGTTCACTATAAAATAAATAGGTTAAGTTTCTGTACAACCCTTTACCCTAACAATGATAATTTTAATTTCTATTGCTTACAGCTGCTGAAAAGCATTTCAAGATGCCGTACAGGCAACCATATAAAACATAAAAATAAGGAAGAATAAAATAAAAGTTGGAGACGGTGAGCAGCACTGATGCTTCGAACACAAGCCGTCTAAACCATTACAACTCCA